ACACATAAATGTGTATATATACACATGCACATATAGACACTACTCTATATACTGTACTTCTATATATGTGTATATGTATAACTATACTTCAATATAATTAGTTTCCTTTGTAATTCTAAATATTTTATTGTTATTCTAAACAGTGATTTTATTAATTTAAAAAATATTGTTCTGAAAAGGGGCCCATAGGTTTCACCAGAATTCCAAAGGGGTCCATAAGTGCAGGAAAGGAAAAGAATCCTTGCCTTTAATTAAGGTTATTTCAGTTCGCTACAGTTAATATTAACCCCCAAACAGCTTTAACGATCAAGAAGTCAGGAAAACTTATCTTCCTGAGTTCAAATCTGGCCTTAGATATGTCCTAGCTGTGTGACCCTGGGCAAGTCACTTAACCCTCAGGTTCCTCATCTTTAAAGTGAGCTAGAGAAGGAAATGGCAACCCACTCCAGTATCTTTGCCAAGAAAATCTTTGCCAAGGGTCAGAGAGTTGGACATGACTGAAACAATTCAACAACATTAGAAACCTCTGCCCTAATCATATTTGGGACTAGACAAACATTATATATGTATATGTATATATACATGTGTATATATAGTGCATACATATATACATATATATATATATATATATCAGTAAAGTTTTTGTGTGTGTGATACATTTTTGTATAAAAGGTTTGCATGGTTGGTTACTGTGTGATCTTTTTTGTGTAGATCCATTTTAGTTCTTCTACTGAATCCAGTAAAGACTGAAGTTACTTTAAGTGTACCTTTTGAAATGTACATGTTAATACATGGAACTTGTTAGAACAAGTGGGAAATGCAATGGAATGCTGCTGTTTGAAAAAAAAAACCAACAACCTTCTTATATTTAGATTTTTTAAAGAAGCACAAAATTAATGTCAGAATAATCTTTTGAGGGGCAGCTAGGTGGCATAGTGGATAGAGTACCAGACCTGGATTCTGGACGACCTGAGTTCAAATCCGATCTCAGACACATAATACTTACTAGCTGTGTGACCTTTGGCAAGTCACTTAACCCCATTGCCTAGCCAAAAAAACCCCCAAAAACAACAACAAAAAAAGAATAATCTTTTGAATAGTAATTTAACATTCAAATATCATGCAAATTCTATTATCTTCAAAATTGTCTTATAAAATATGAGGCAGTCTGGTACAACGGAAAGAATATTGAATCTGGAATCAGAGGATCTGGGTTTGAATTCGAGTCCCATGGCTTTCTACTTTCATAACCTTGGGCACTTTAACTTTCAGGTCCTGAATTTTCTTTTCTGAACAATGGAAAGGCTGAGCTAGATGATCTCCATGGTCCCTTCCTACTCTGTGATGTATAATCCCATGCTTCCTTAAGAGTAATTAAAATGCACAGATGGTTTCCCTTTTGTGACACAGAAATCCACCAAGAACAGAACCTGGGCATTTGTGCAGGGTTTAACACTCTTCTTGGGCTAACTTTATTTCAGCATTATATAACTCAACTTAGTTCTTGTATTTCCTTTTAAAGTCATTTCCTCAGACGTGCTGGATATTTCCTCCAGGAAAAACTGCTAAAATGTACAAAAATAGCTCGGAAAATTTCACTTGGCGCATAATATCATTATGCAGAAATGCACATATTTTAATTAATTATTTTATATATAAGCAGTATAAAATAACTCCTTCTTGCAGAACAACCTATAATAGTCTCAACAGTATTGCCTAAAGATGTAATACTTGAGTAGGAGTCTTTCCCAAATATGAGAATTTTTGAGTAATGCCTGAAAATCACCTGAGCAAAGCAACAGAAGATATCTATCAGGCAGGATCATGGCTCTGATGGGGTATGAATAAGATTTCCTCTTCAATCTTGAACTTTGGTAGTTTGGTTAACTTACATGAGTTAAATGCTGTTCATTAATTGGCAATAAAAGGTCAGAAATTTGCTGGATTGAGCAGAATATTGATAGGCATCTTTTTCTATTATCCAAATGAAAATTAATTTAAAATCAAAGTTTTATGACAGTATCACATGAAATGGGATTGGTCTTAAGAATTGGCAGTGGCAGTGGACTACATGTGATTTTAGGATCCTTGAAAAACAAGACCTGAAGCGTTCCCTATTGGGGATTCATTTCTTTGAGCATCCCTGCATCCTCTTTCAAAATGCAAACACCTCTTGAAGGATCATAGTATTTAGAGCCGGAAGAGACCTTAGAGATCATTCTCTTTCCTTTTTTTTAAGATGGAAAAACTGGGGATCAGATGGGTTGAGTGACTTACCCAACATCACACGTTTTGAACCTGGCTTCTCTAATATCGGACACACGGTCTTTCCAATATTCTAAACTATCTCATGTTTAAGAAGTACGTGCTGATGTACAGAATCATAATTTTTACTCACAGCAGGTTTCTAATGAATGTTTGTGGAATACAATGCAGGAGATAACTGAAAAAGAAACAAAGAAAAAAGAAGGAGTGGAAGAGAGAAGAAAGTGATAGTGAAGGAGGAAGGAGAAAAGAGAAAGAGAGGAAAAGAAAGACAGAAAGACAAGCAAGGAAAGGAAGATAGAAAGAAAAGGAGGAAGAGATGTACAGAGACAGAGAAACAGAAAGAAAGGTAAAAAGACGGGGAAAAGGTAATGAACAGCTCTTGTCATACTGGAACAGGGCCTCGGAATAAAATAACACTGGCTATTATTTCCTTTTGAAAGGAAAAAGGTTATTTCTGCATTCAGCAGTAGCTAGTCTGCTGTTGGGGACCCAAAGTTCCTTTTTTTTTTTAAATAACAATTTCTTTCCCAAGCAGTTTTTAGACATGTGTGAAGAAGTGCCTTTGAGTTTAGAACAGAACAAAGGAACTTGGGAGGTGCTGGCTCATTTACATAGCAATCATTCAGAAAGTTCATCTAATATTCAGAAACTGCTGATTGCTTTCTCTTTCTTCTTTGACAGTGAGGGCTGCCTCAATGCACACCAACAGAGGGTTACACTTGAAAATAATATCAATGCCATATGGGAATTGGCCCAGTGGCAGCCCTTGATTTATCATCTTGCCAAGTGGACTTGAGCTCTCTACTTAAAAAGGCCATTGAGGTCATGAAAGCCATAAGTATGTACAATAATATATTTGCTCTCTTTTTATAAAGGATCTATATTATTTGTAATGAGTAATCCCTGTGCTATAAGCAACGATGACTGATGATGAGTAGAGAGAAGCACAGAAAGATTATGAACAAATTCAGAGTAAATGGAAAAAGGAAAAAATATAAACAATGACTACAATAATGTAAGGGTGCAGTGGATAGAATGAAAGGCCTGAAATTAAAAAAGACTCATCTTCCTGAATACACAAATCTGGCCTCAGACATTTACTGTGTGACCCTGGGCAAGTCACTTAACCCCTCTTACCTCAGTTTCCTCATCTGTAAAATGAGCTAGAGAAGGAAATGGTAAACCACTCCAGTATCTTTATCAAGAACACCCCAAATGGGGTCAGGCAACTGAAAAGACTGAATAACAAAGCAACAATGTCAACAGAAAGGGCAACATGAACACGGCAATTGAAACGGAATATTTTGAAACCATAATGACTAAACTTGGCCCCAAAGAAGAAATGTGGGAAGCCATCTCTCTTTCTTCCTCCTCCCTTCATCTTTTCACAGAGGTGGAGGACCATGGCTGTTGAATGCTGCTTTTAACGTCAGATTTTTTAGATATGTGTGTTAGTTTTGTTGAACTTCCTGCTCCCCCCTTTTATTGCTGGTTATAAGGGATGGCTCTTTGGGAAAGGGAAGGAGGAGGGATATACTGGGAAATGTGAGTCATATGAAAACAAAAAATACCAATAAAATTTTTAAATAAAAAAGAATAGATTAAGTTAAATCCTCCTGCTTGACTAAAACAAACACAATGATCGCTTTCTAATGCTATATACCGTTTCACTAATTTAAAGGAATATGAGGAAAACTCTCCTTGGTGTCTTCTGTGCTTTTCGGTGAATGATACGACAGAAGGAATATCGTAGTAATAAAATTAATGTTTTTAAATGAAAGTATTCACTTATCACATGTAAAATGTAGTATAGTCTAGGGGGGAAAGCACTGTATTGAAGTCTGAAGACCTGATTAGCATGGGACCTTTGGCAAGTCGCCTCACCAAACCACAGTTGACTCATCTATGAAATGGGGATAACAATGCCTGCACTCCCAGTCTTACAGTGTTGTGAGAAAAGTGCTTTGTAAACTTAAAATGCTGCAGAAATGCAACCTATTATTAATAATTGTATTGACATTCCTAATGGGGGCAAAATTATATTTTCTAATGAGTTTCAGACTCTTAACTTATAATTTTCAAAAACTACAAGATATCATTCTATCAGTCTCTTCACAATAACTTCCTGTCCTAACCTGTTCTATCTTGCAAAGGAAACACTCCCCAGGACATGCTGAATTGGTTCAACATACTCAAATGCAGGAACTTAAAATAGCTGAATCAAAGTCTGTGTGCATGACACAACACAGAGGAAGTTAGTGCTAAAATAATACATTTCACAAGGGGTAGAAATTAACTGGGGGCCTGCATTCTAGAAGCTGTTTCTCTTGCCTTTGCTGTTGATAATACTACTGTTCAGGAGAGCCGCATGTGTCTGTCAACCCATCAGAAAACTCAGAGAAGGAAAAGGAAACAAAATTTAAAAATGGCTGCCCTCAGGTTCAGGAGAGATTTCCTCTGGGATTTCCATCTAACAACATGCTAAGTTATTTAGCAAGGATGGCTATTTAGACCCTTCTTGCCACCTGACCCTTAGAGCAGAGTACTGGTGGAAAAGGTCTGGGAATATCACGCTATTTTCCCACCTTGCCTTCCACCCCAACAGAACAAAATGTCAGTAACAAATCACATTAAAATGAACTGCAAAGGGCAGCTAAAAAGGGGTGGTGGGTGGGGTTAGGGAAATGGTAAAAGCTAGCAATATACTTCCTGAAGAGTGGGGATAGTGGAGTTCCACTTTATTTTGCTAACTAATACGGATAGGAAATTCATAGACTGTATTATGTAAGCCTCAAATTCTTTTTTAGCACCTGTGAGCAGAGCCATCTTATTGGCTCATAGGCTCATAAATTTAGACCTAGAAGGACCCTTGGAGATCATCTAGACCAGAGGTATCAAACTCCCAGCCCACCCAGGAGTGCCACCCAAATAAGACTAAAATGTAAGTGGGAAACGTTTGACAAATTTTTTTTAAAAATACAATAAAATAGATAATGTTAATTTGTGGTTTTCTAAGTGAATATACAGTCAGCAGCGTTCCTTTTCGTATTTCAGTTTGACACCACTGACCTGGGCCAGCTCCCTCATTTTATAAATAAGGAAGCTGTGGCCAAAGGGGTTAAGTGATGTGTCCAAGGTCATATAGGTGGTAAGTAGCAGATGCTAGGACAGCTCTGCTCCTTTAGCACTATCCCGATAGTGGAAATTTCTGATTATTTGTAAAGCAAGTAGAAAGTGAGTAACAAATGAGTGCAGTGGTTTATTTTTCTTGATAAATATAGTTGTTTAAAATTTAAGAACAATGAGAGACAATGAGGCATAGTAGATAGTGGGCAGACCTTGGAGTCGTTAAGAACTGGGTCCAACTTTCCCTCTGCCACATGCTGGCTGTGTGACCCTTGGCAAATCTTACTGAATTGCCAGGGGCAATAAAAAGGTAAGTTAGTGAAGAGGTGACATATCAGCAGAAGGAGTTTTCCACATACAGATGAAACCTTAAGTTCAGTTTTGTTTTGTTTTGAAAAGGAGCATTTGGGGCAGCTAGGTGGAGCAGTAGATAGAGCTCTGCCCTTGGAGTCAGGAGGACCTGGGTTCAAATTTGACTTCAGACACTTGAAACTTACTAGCTGTATGACCCTGGGCAAGTCACTTAATCTTGATTGCCTCATTAAAAAAATTTTTTAAAAAATTTAAATTTTAAAAAGCTGAAGGAAAAAAAAAAGGAGCATGCATAGAAGTGGGAAGAGGTATTGTAAAACAGTTAGAGCCAATAACAACAATACTAACATTTTGTAGTTCATAGAATTTAAAGCGAGAATGGTCCTTAGGGATTAGCTAATACAACCCCTCATTATACAGATGAGAAAACTGAGGCCAGGGGCAGCTGGGTGGCGCCATAATGCACCGAATGCCAGCTTGGAATCAAGAGGATGCATCTTCCTGAGTTCAAATCTGGCCTCAGACACCAGCAGTGGGACCCTGGGTAAGTCACTTAATTTTGTTTGCCCCGGTTTCCTTATCTATAAAATGAGCTGGAGAAGGAAATGGCAAACCACTCCACTATATTTGCCAAGAAAAGTCCAAATGCAGTCACGGAATCAGACACAACTGAAACAACTGAACAACAACAAGGAATTTAAGTGATTTGCTCAGGATCACACAGGTAACAAGAAGCAAAGGCAGGATTTAAGCCCAGGTCTTCTAAAGCCAAATACAGCACATTTTCCACCATTTTAACCTTGTGCTATCTCTGTGTACATGGCAACCTCTGCTTTGAACTTGGAGAAAGGTGTTACCTTGTTTGTGTAGTAGGAGCAAGTGACTATTAAATCATATAAGACCATTTACTTACAATACAGATTCCTGAACCATCCTGGCACCGATTTGAATGTCCATTACAATTGCAGGGAACACACCGTCCAGTATAGAAACCCTTGTTGTCCCGGTAATATCCAGGGGTGCAACCCTATTTTTCAAGCAAAACACGGAAAACAGCTTTTAGAAAGTCACAATTTTCCTACAGTTATTGCTCAAGGACAGCAAGACTTCAGCCTTGAAAAGCAGTGATCTTCTTATCTACTTTTCTGTACATTTTTGGAAAATTCCACTTCGAATTCCACTCTTTAAATTCTTCCTTGTTTTCATTTCATGTGATTTCCCACTCCTTTGATCCTCTCCTTTGCTGGTGTGTCCCATGAAAAGTTAATTGGTTCTATGAAAATACAGCCTTTGGTGAGTTGAAGGGGTAGGAAGAAGTGAGTTCTATAGCAATAATATTTGAAATGGATGAAAAATTACTGGGAAGCTGAATTTGGACTGAAAAACTTTTAAAAATTGTTTTTACGGGCACCTCTCAGAGGGCTAAGCTGGGCTGGGTAGTAGTGAAAGAGTAGAGACCTGGCACATCAAGTCACTTGCAGCTGCTCTAAGGTTTCCAGCTGAAAGAAGAAAAGGGAGCTGGGAATGCAGGGGATGGAAGGAAGTGGGCACTGGCTTACAGGAGAAGAACTTCTTGAGGACAAAACTCTCTTACTCATGGCCCTCTTAAGACCAGGCATAGTAAGCACTCAATAAGTGGTTTGTTTTTTGTTTTTTTAATTGAGTCAAATACTGGTCAGATAACAGGGAAGTACGAATAAGACCACTGAAAGTGGAAGTGAAATAACATGCCTTCCCTGATGATCAGCTGTTTTAGAGGAGAGTGAAAAGTGTGGAGGGAATTGAAGGCAAGCAGGAACCCTGTCAGCAGTGAGGTGAGAAGGGCCGAGAACATTAAGCTTTCACTTCCCCTTTTGTCTCTGTTCTTGTAGAAGCTGTCTCCAAGTATGGAAATGAGAAAATATTTGGATTGGATCTACATGATGGCAGCAGAATCTGGGGTGATAAAAAAAAATTGGGTGGATTTACTCACTGCCATCAGACTATTACATATATATATATACACACACACACACACACATACACACACATATGTATGCATGTATGTATACACACAAATACTATATATGTATGTATATGTGTGTATCTCTATCTATATCTATACATATATGTATATATGATATATACTATATACTAGCTGGGTAAGTGATAGTAACCCCAGAAATATAGCTAATTGGTGTTCACAGAATGATCTGGATGAACGTAGAACAAGTCATTTTGACCAAATCTTTGGTTCCCGTTGGATTTAAATATGCTTCTAAAGGACAAGCCTGAATATTTTGGTTTTTGTGTTTTGTCTGGCTTTTTAATTTAATATTAATTTTGAGATAATTACACTCAGGTGATTTCTATTTTCTTCATTGGGCTGACTTTGTTGACTTGGATTTTTTTTATAATGATGAAAAGAATGGAAGCTTCCTTGTGGTGATCTGACTGAAAAGCTAGACTCTCATCAAATATGCCTTTAGAAGAATGGTGAAGACGATAATAATATTTTGCCATCTATTTCTTAAATTTGTCAGAGTTCAGCTCTGATGTTCCATTTGCTTGGGAGAGTTTAGGTCACTGCCTAGATCAAGTACAAATATTGCCAAATATCACACATCCGTCGTTCATGGATGACCATGTGGTTTTATATTACATGTATGTATATGTCTATGATATGCATATGCATATTTATATCTTGGTGTGCATATGTGTGTTTACGTGTGTATATGTGAATATATATATATATACATACATATATATATATATACATACATATATATTATATATACACACACACACATGTATATTCTTTTCTTTAACTGGACCTTTGATTTCATCAGTGGGAGGAATTCTTCTAACAATGCAGGTCGCCACCTTAGAGAGTTGTCTAGGGGCACTGAGAGCTTCAGTGACTTTCCCAGGGTGACACAGACAGCAGGCATCAGAGGTGGGGACTCTAATCAAGATCAGCCCTCTATCCATTGTGCCAGTCTTTATCTCACATGAAATGCATAATACTGTAAAATCGTGGAAGATGTTAAGATGAAAACATGATTTTCTTTTATTGAACCCTAAGTAACACAAAAGTTTTCAATTACTTGAAGCTACAGTCAAAGTAAAACACCTGGAATTTTGAAGAGACTAGTAGAACAAACCATTCTCACTGCCTAAAGCAGTGTATATGACTTGTGCTGGCTAATTATCACATATTGGGAGACTTTCCATTGAGGTCACCACCTATTATACATAATATTCTGATAACTAGATCATGTCTTCCAACATAAATTTCCCCAAAGCTATTAGTAACCAAGTTTGGACAACGGGAAGCATTTTTTAAAAAGTGTATTAGGTTATAAGTACAGGCTTGTCTGAGGGAGAATTTAAGTATGAAAAGAATGCTACATATCTGAAAATACATCCATACGGATACAGAACATTTAATCAGCTACTTAGCTTGAATCTTCATTTTGCAAAAGCTTAGAAATAACTAAGCTGGACAAAGATACTAACTTTATGCAACTGACCTGTATTGATAAGCAGCATTTGTCTCCATATATAACAATATATGGCTGCAAAATAATCATACTTAAAAAGAACAAATGATGTAGCCAAATGAATAATTCTGCGTAGTTTTAAGAAGGAATCTGAAATAAGCCAGAATTTTAAATACTTTTTGTCGGGGGATGAAGGAGAGAATAAAGAATCTCTATTCTACATAGATGTGCAAACATAGACACACACACACACACACACACACATACACACACATACACACATACATAAATATGTAAATTTGCTTTTGATTGGAAAAGATAGCATTTTCAATAAACTATATATTTTTCTCTGTGTGCACATACAGGGTGGTCCAAAAGTCTTACTGTAGTTAAGCTTTAAGTTTAAAACTGTGCTAAGACTTTTGGGATATAATGTGTATATGTATGTGTATATGATATACAGTATATAGCTATAATATGGATAGCTAGCTAGATGGTCGATGTGACCTGAATAAGTAAGCTGAATTTTATATACAATTATGTGACTTGTTTCTTGAGAAGTAAGAAAATAATAATAGTATTTCTATAATTAGAAAATGGTGTGTCTAAGTGCCTTATTATATACACATACAGTATATGTACATATATATAAATTCATGTATATATTTGTTCAAAAACAAGTCACAAGCACTTCTACATTAAATTTAGTTTATGCAGATTATATCAACAAAGTACATAGCTTCTATGTAGAATTAAATGTCTCAAAATGTTTTTTCCAATAAATGGATATTAAAAATTCATTTATTTTTAACACCAACTTTCCTAAGAAACCGATATAAATGATTTTTGGTCTTACATTACAGTGTCTAGTATTAAATTATAACATGTCATCACTAGCTTTGCATTACCATTTTTAACAGCTCTCAGGCACACATTTCCCTCTTTGTGGATATGAGATGTCCAGAAGGTTGATGGGAAATGACATGTACATAAGAGCAGAAAACTGGCTACTTTTGAACTTTGAAATTCTTAAGGCCTGACAAACGGTAACATATTTGTTCTGTGTTGAACATATTTTATCTGATCACTATTGACTGTCCTCCTTGCCCTTATATTTTAATACTCCTGAGAAAAAATTTTTCTTCCAGACAAAATTTCTAACCACACACTTCACTATATTCTTGTGCCCTGGTGGTCTGGGTCACCCTCAGCAGAGCACCAATTTAACACTGTGCTGAGGACTCTGACCTGATGGCGCACCTCAGAGTTTCAGAGTGGACACGTGTTTATACACTTCGTGGCTCAAGGAAATAATCTGCTAGGCATTCAATATTAATAACTGAAGAAGATAAACAGCCTTCTTTTACAACCCCCCAACTCAATTTCTTCATCCCCATTTATTTTAAGAATATTACATAAGAAGGCACTTGGTCGATTCACACCTCCCCACCCAAACCAACAAAGAAGAGGTCATTACCTGATTTGGTCTAAAGTCCAACTTATTTGCTCTCTGATGGGCTTGGCCACGAAAATCCACATTACTTGGGTGTTGCTGATGGCTTTGACCATGGAACTGAGGAAAGGCCACCCTTTGCTGTGTGTTGTAACCCAAACAATGGCCCAGGGTGGCCCCAAGGATTAATAGCCATCCTGTGCTTGGGGCTGGCCATCTGCTTGGTGCCCCCATGCTGTTCCCGGGAGAGCCTGACTGTATATACACTCAGCCTGTCTTTTTCCTCTTATACCTGCCCTGAGATCTGAGTCAGGTAAGGGAGGCTGCCTGCAGGCTAGGCTGCAGCATGCCCCACCTTTAAACTTCCTACATGAGTCAGACTGTGCAACGGAGCACATAACAGGACCCAAGGTACATGCACCGCTCTGTAATTCCTGTGAGGTGTGGCCAGCTTCACCTTCTACCCACCTCACGCAAATCAGACAGCACTAGACGATGAGAGTAGCCATAAATCACTGTCTGAGTAATGCAGGAATATGCCCGGGATATAAGGGAGGCAGGGCAGGGGTTCCACAGCCTCCTTTGGGCTGTGTATTTTTTTTTTATCAT